ATATATATAGTTCTGGGTATTAGCCCTAGAAAGATATATATATATAGTTCTGGGTATTAGCCCTAGAAAGATATATATATATAGTTCTGGGTATTAGCCCTAGAAATATATATATATATAGTTCTGGGTATTAGCCCTAGAAAGCTATTACTCCTGGAATAGTGTCATATTAGCTAGGGTTCAGTGTCAAGGATCGACAAGTCGTCCCAGAGTACATCAGTTATTTTCATTGGACAGATTCTGGAATACTGCGAAAATATTGGCATGTTGTAGATAAAGTTCAGTTCTGTCCGGGTAACCCTGTTGGTGACCAGGAGAAAAGTTCAGTTCTGTCCGGGTAATCCTGTTGGTGACTAGGAGAAAAGTTCAGTTCCGTCCGGGTAACCCTGTTGGTGACTAGGAGAAAAGTTCAGTTCTGTCCGGGTAACCCTGTTGGTGACCAGGAGAAAAGTTCAGTTCAGTCTGGTTAACCCTGTTGGTGACCAGGAGAAAAGTTCAGTTCAGTCTGGGTAACCCTGTTAGTGGTCAGGAGGAAAGTTCAGGTCTGTCTGTGATCAAGATATGTATATATATTTTAAAAACATGGCTCATTTTTACCTTGTTTCTTCAGACGTCTGAATTCCGAGCTTTTTCTCTCTCTCCACAACTCTTGCTTGGTTGTAAGGAACGCGTGTGATGGTATTAGAATTAACGTGAACATAAGAGATACGACTATATCTGTAGGTGGCGCTACCAACTTCTCTACAAGCTGAAACATTCCTCATGTTATCGTTGCTGCACTTGGTTCTAATTTTTCAACCTTGGCAGAATTCACTTTCACATCGCCCGAATGACCAAAACGTTAGTGAAGTCTAGTAAACAATGCTTTATAATTCGGAGTATGCGTAATCTAACTAAAAACGTACTGCACGCAAGTTTTCTGCTGTTTTACCACCTGGTGACTAATTAACGGAGGAAACCAGGTTCTCGGGTAACTTACTATAGATATAGAGTTACCCCCCCCCCCCCAGGTCTCTTTGTTGTCGATGAAGTGTTCCTGAAAAAGATGGCGGGGGGCGACTCAAACAAAGCCCAGTAGTGTCGAAGAAACCTGCATAATTAGTTCCAGTAACGAATACGTGGTTTTACGCTCGCGATTAAGGAAACCAATAGTATGAGCTGGTAGTAATTAAAAACCGTCTCTGATGTACCGAACCACGTGGTTCCTTGTCAAATACAAGACAACAGATATAAACATGTGGTAATTGCTGACCTGACTCTTTAATTAAAGTTAGCTTCTTGTTTGTTTGTCGAAAATGACAGACAGTGTTAGCTTCTAGCAGAGTTGTTGATGCTCTCTTTGTTGCCTAGGCTACAGATAACTTTATCAACTGCTAAAACACTGAACTACTTCTACCAATTTAGGGATCAAAGTATGGATGTCAACTACTGATAACATTGATGTAGGTTGGATGTCAAGTACTGATGGCATTTGTGTGAAGGTTTGATGTCAAGTACTGATAACATTGGTGAAGGTTTGATGTCAAGTATTGATAACATTGGTGAAGGTTTGATGTCAAGTATCGATAACATTGGTGAAGGTTGGATGTCAAGTACCGATAACATTGGTGAAGGTTGGATGTCAAGTATTGATAACATTGGTGAATGTTTGATGTCAAGTAGTGATAACATTGGTGTAGGTTGGATGTCAAGTATTGATAACATTGGTGAAGGTTGGATGTCAAGTATTGATAACATTGGTGAAGGTTGGATGTTAAGTATTGATAACATTGGTGAAGGTTGGATGTCAAGTATTGATGGCATTTGTGTGAAGGTTTGATGTCAAGTATTGATAACATTGGTGAAGGTTGGATGTCAAGTATTGATAACATTGGTGAAGGTTGGATGTCAAGTATTGTTGGCATTTGTGTGAAGGTTGGATGTCAAGTATTGATGGCATTTGTGTGAAGGTTGGATGTCTAGAATTAAATACTAGTGAATGTTATAAAGTTTGAATGACTAGATCTTGAAGAACTGATGATATTTGGGAAGACTGAATGACTAGATGTTAAGTACTCATTTAAATAATTAAATAACCAGAGTCGAGACGCGGTTTGCTTTTTCCACTGATGATAACGATTTAGTTAAACCGTCGTAGATCATAGGTTCTGCTTCAGATTTATAGGTGAGATATTAAATCTTATATATATTGCGTTCCGTGGTGTCTTTTTCCAGTTTACTGCGGTGCGCTTGAAAAGCTGAACAACGCAGGCAAAACTCGACATTCACTTTCGAAACGACGGAAGAACAGGCATGAATAATGTTGATACCAGGATATTCTACACTAAGTTGTTAGGATTGCTTGAAGTTAAACACAAAGCTTCACAATGGGCTGTATGTGCTCTGCCCATCACGGGTATCAAAACCCGGTTTCTAGCGTTGTAAGTCCGCAGACCTACCGCTTGCCACTGGGGGGCAAATTGTTAGGAATTAATCACACTATCATTAACATTTCAAAATGTGACGTAACTTAAAGAATAAAAATGTAAATTTACCACATGTTATTGTTCAGTAGCTATTATCATGACAGAACTACTCAACGGTATAAGTAGCTCAGAGTTTTGACTCCGAGTGAAACATAATTAACCTTTTTTATGAAATAATTTAAATTAATAGATTAACTTAAATTTTCCCGTCACTGGGGACGGGTACTTTTGCTAGATCATCTATCAGTACAGAAATCTTATTGTTTTGTGTTTGATGACGGTGTAACATTATATGACGATTCAGTGTTTAAACTGAATAACACAATAAACTAGTTTAACAGCATATAGATTTAATAACCACATTCTCAAAGTGTAAACAATACAACAGATAATAATTATCTGAAAATCCAGGTGAATATATCAAACAGTTTAAATAAGGAACTTTAAAACCTATTTGTTAAATTGTAAATTACACATTTTACAATAATTTAAAACAGAACAAAATAATAACCATTCAATTATGTGTTAAGTTTTAAAAAATGCAAAAATTGTAACCAAGTTTTATGATTGTGCTGCCATCTGTGGATTGTTTCAAACAATATTGAATTGATGCCTAAAGAATATTTGCATGTTACGTTGCAGTATACATATTCAATAACTAATTTCTAGACAATAAAAACAATATTATTATTAATATAACAAAGAAAGTTCAAAGAAGTATTGTTTTAAACATTTTTTTATCTACTGAGAATATAAAAAAATATTTTATATTTACGAGGAATTTGAGAAAGGAAGAATATAATAAAGTTTATAACTCGTTCTGGTAATCTTAGATGACGGAATATTATCTCAAAATAAAAGTTTAACAGTTGACATTAAACCCATTATCTTTTAATGGCGTTCATTAAATATTTTCCCGTATAAAATTATATTTGCACTTTAACCTTCAATAGATGGCGCCATATATTTCTCTCCTGGTTTTCTTTTTACAAAGGACTTTCACTTATTATCTATCGCCAACTTTGTTTCTAAACACTACTGAATATCTCCAGACGTTTCGCTTGGCTCGTTTTGCTAAACCTTATATTCCGACATTATCTACTCACTGCATTTATTAGTTTTACGGATGACAAAATTATACAATATAAAATAGTGAATACCGTGAATAAATGTGTCAGGTAGTTTATTCTCACTTGAAAGTACGTACAACTAATACGTAGACACGATCCAATAGAGTTACTTCTTATAAAATAGTAAAATAAAATGTTTTAACTTAACGTCAACACGTGTTTGTACATGAAAAAGGCACGATATTTCTTTAGGGCCCGAGATGATGGGGGCTCTATTCATGTTGAGAAATAGTTTTTCAACACATTATCTGTTTAAGGTTAGATCAACACACTGATAGAGATCTCAGTTATCTGAACACTGAAAAGTATTGTAAGGTACTGAGGGGCTCACTGACAAAAGAAGGTGCTTTTAAAGTATTGTAAAACAAGACTTTAGGGGCTCGGTGGGTGGAAGGGTTAGAGGAGACCATGAGGACTGTAGGTTTCCTTTGAGTAGAAGGCCACGAGAAGCAAACAGATCCTCTGTTGTTCCTATTTAATCGGTATTATAAACATTTTTAAACAGTGAATTCTCCCGTGTTAACACTTAATAACATATCAACTTTATTATAAAAACCTGTGAGTATCTCAGTCATTCATTTAAAGTTGAGATCTTTTTTTCCTAACTCACAGCAAGCAAGGTGTAGAATCAGACTGTCTTTTAGTAGTTATGGACAATTTTTATGACTGAGAAAGAGGGCACATATGGGGCATAAGAGCAGAAAGTCATGGATTTAACTAGTGGATCAGTGAATACTTGTACTACCACACGGTGATATGGATCTAACCAGTGGATCAGTGAATATTTGTACTAGCACACAGTGATATGAATCTAACTAGTGGATCAGTGAATATTTGTACTAGCACACAGTGATATGGATCTAACTAGTGGATCAGTGAATACTTGTACTACCACACGTTGATATGGATCTAACCAGTGGATCAGTGAATACTTGTACTACCACACAGTGATATGGATCTAACCAGTGGATCAGTGAATACTTGTACTAACACACAGTGATATGGATCTAACCAGTGGATCAGTGAATATTTGTACTAGCACACAGTGATATGGATCTAACCAGTGGATCAGTGAATATTTGTACTAGCACACAGTGATATGGATCTAACTAGTGGATCAGTGAATATTTGTACTAGCACACAGTGATATGGATCTAACCAGTGGATCAGTGAATACTTGTACTAACACACAGTGATATGGATCTAACTAGTGTATTAGTGAATGGTCATATCAACACTGAGAAGGATCTGAGAAATTGCTGGTTGGATCAACACACTGATCTGAACCATAAGTGTTTGAAATCTTTAGCCGGTTCTTGGCTCCGCTTCGGAAAGTGTCATCAAACAGGGTTAACAACAATGCTACATTTATCAGTAGTTCTCGCTATGCTTCCAGAACTCTGTTAATGGTTCCACGTTGCATTTTCTGTTGGGTTTTCACAGGTGTGAATGAATGTTCCGAGCTGACTCCAATAGAACTGCTCTTACGTTGCTGTAGATCATAAAGACAACATGATTAACATATATTTAGCATTTAAGCTATTTATTCGTTTTAACCTAGCCTATTTATTCTTTTTATTATTAAGCCTTATTTCCTTTATGATCTAGCCTAGACTACTTATTCTCTTTAACATCTATAGTATCCTGTCTATACTCTTTCATACCTATCCTAGCATGCTTATTCTCTTTGGTATCTATCCTAGCCTGTTTATTCTCTTTAGTATCTATACTAGCCTGTTTATTCTCTTTAGTATCTATCCTAGCCTGTTTATTCTCTTTAGTATCTATACTAGCCTGTTTATTCTCTTTAGTATCTATACTAGCCTGTTTATTCTCTTTAGTATCTATCCTAGCCTGTTTATTCTCTTTAGTATCTATACTAGCCTGTTTATTCTCTTTATATATCCTAGCCTGTTTATTGTCTTTGTATATCTTAGCCTGTTTATTGTCTTTGTATATCCTAGCATGCTTCTTCTCTTTGGTATCTATCCTAGCATGCTTCTTCTCTTTGGTATCTATCCTAGCCTGTTTATTCTGTTTCATATCTGTCCTAGCCTGCGTATTCTCTTTGTATATCCTAGCCTGTTTATTGTCTTTGTATATCCTAGCCTGTTTATTGTCTTTGTATATCCTAGCCTGTTTATTGTCTTTGTATATCCTAGCCTGTTTATTGTCTTTAGTTTATCCTAGCCTGCTTATTCTCTTTGTATATCTTAGCCTGTTTATTGTCTTTGTATATCCTAGCCTGTTTATTGTCTTTGTATTTCCTAGCCTGTTTATTGTCTTTAGTATCTATCTAGTAGTAACAATCAATAAGTGTTTTTATTCCCAACTGAAGTAGTGAAAGATAAACATGCAGTAGCTAAACCTTACATTGACAGTTCTTTAAAGAACTCCAAACCTCGTTATCTCTTTTTGTTACATATCTAATAATTATGTGACTTGTTATTCTGTATTACATTTTACTACATCAGCTGCTTTTTCTTCTTCTGTAGCTGGTTAAGGTGTCGCTGAAAATGTTGATAAAAGTCAGAGATCTTATTTAAAGTTGCCTCAAAGTCTACAATTATACAAGCTTTTAAAAAAGAAAACACAAGATTTCATTTAAGCTTTAAAAATAAGTTAAGAGACGAATTAAACAAACAAATGTTGTATGTTATACCCGTTATCTGAGTTTGCAGTGAAGTTTTGAAAAGGGAAAGTAAAATCTAAAACATCTGTGCTATTTAGTTGTATATTAGTTGTAAAAAACAGATGTTTTTAAAGTTATTGGTTATACTAAGACCCTTAAAAGTGAAATTAACAACTTCGAAAATAAGAACTACATGATATTAAGAAGCAATGTTTATAAAAGTTTTGTCAAAAACTGTTGATGTTTAATAGAATCTCTCAGACTTTTATAAAACAAGTAAATATAATGGGCAACCTTTTTTTCATATTTCCAAGATCTTATCAAAACAATTACCTTACAGAAAAAGATGGCTGCTCCAGCAGCAAGAAGTGTCCACAGCGATCCAACAACAACTGCTGCCAGCGTGGTTCCCGTACCAATTTTCACAGGAGTTTGAACTTGCCATCTGAAATCTTCGGCTTTTTCTTCATCCAGGGATGCAGACTGTTTCGGGCACGTGGTTTTAATGAACACACACACTTATTTTTTTAAACCACTTTACCAGTTCATTTAACCAGTCTTTATAAATCTGACAGTTTATTTATAAACAGTATATTTTGTAAACATAACTACATTTAACCTACTGTGAATTGTTTCCGAACAATCATTGTAATTTTTTTGTTCCAAGAGCAATTTTATTTCTACCCATTTTTGGTGACTTTAATATCCATTAACTATATGAATAAAACTTTACAAATGTGTTTATCTTGAGAACCACCCAGACTATTGTAGCCATAACTGTCAGGTGCTAATCTCATTAAAAGTCTGTCTTGAGAATCACCCAGACTATTGCAGCCATAACTGTCAGGTGCTAATCTCATTAAAAGTATTATTTGAGAACCACCCAGACTTTTGTAGCCACAACTGTCAGGTGCTAATCTCATTAAAAGTCTGTCTTGAGAACCACCCAGACTTTTGTAGCCATAACTGTCAGGTGCTAATCTCATTAAAAGTCTGTCTTGAGAATCACCCAGACTTTTGTAGCCATAACTGTAAGGTGCTAATCTCATTAAAAGTCTTACTTGAGAACCACATAGACTTTTGTAGCCATAACTGTTAGGTGCTAATCTCATTAAAAGTCTGTCTTGAGAACCACACAGACTTTTGTAGCCCTAACCGTCAGGTGCTAATCTCATTAAGAGTCTTAGTTTAAGATAAAAGTATTCAACTTCTAAGCCTATTCTCCTTTGGTAATCTTCAAAGTTCTTAATCCATTTATAAAGAGCTTATTTGTTGATCTTAAAAATATTTAAACTCTAAAAACGACCTCATTTATTATCTTTAAAGTCTTAAAACCCACTCATTAATAAATATATATTTACTTGTAAATAAAAATAGGATTTTAAAGATATTTAAGTTCAGAAAAGTTAACTGTATGTGTTTAAAACAGAAACATAACTTTGTTATTGCTTTTATGAAGTGGAACTCGTGTTTAATCATTTTACTTGCCTTAAGATAGAACAGGTACACTTACCTCACTTAACCAAGCTAGAGGCATCAGAACATCTTTAATGTTGGTTAGACCTCTGAAAAAAACCAAAAAAAAAACGATGTAGCATGTTTTTGACACAAACTTAGTTCATGTCTACACAGAAAATCAAACTGAAAAAACAAAAATAAACTAAATCAATAAAAACATTGAGATACAAGGAGTACACAAAACATTTTTATAATTAAACTCAAGTACCAGAATATCCTAATATGTCAAGAGTGTGTGTGTGTGTGTGTGTACACATAGATAAATGTCCTTTACGACTTCAAGTTGACAATTAGGATCAACAATGGCAATTATACTGTAATGCTTATTTCTTATTGTGGAAATATATATATATTACAGATTTATTTTTCACCAAAGATAAATTTGAAACTATCATCTGTGATATCATAAATCTTATATCACGCGTAATACAAATACTGACATCATCTTATATCACGCGTAATACATATACTGACATCATCTTATATCATGCGTAATACAAATACTGACATAATCTTATATCACGCATAATACAAATACTGACATCATCTTATATCATGATTAATACATATACTGACATCATCCTATATCATGATTAATACAAATACTGACATCACCTTATATCATGAGTAACACATTTACTGACATCACCTTATATCATGAGTAACACATTTACTGACATCACCTTATATCATGAGTAACACATATACTGACATCATCTTATATCATGAGTAACACAAATACTGACATCATCTTATATTATGAGTAACACAAATACTGACATAATCTTATATCATGAGTAACACATATACTGACATCATCTTATATCATAAGTAACACATATACTGACATCATCTTATATCATGAGTAACACATATAGTGACATCATCTTATATCATGAGTAGTACAAATACTGACATCATCTTGTATCATGATTAATACATATACTGACATCATCTTATATCATGAGTAATACAAATACTGACATCATCTTATATCATGAGTAACACAAATACTGACACCATCTTATATCGTGAGTAATACAAATACTGACATCATCTTATATCATGAGTAGTACAAATACTGACATCATCTTATATCATAAGTAACACAAATACTGACATCATCTTATATCGTGAGTAATACAAATACTGACATCATCTTATATTGTGAGTAATACAAATACTGACATCATCTTATATCATGAGTAGTACAAATACTGACATCATCTTATATCATGAGTAGTACAAATACTGACATCTTAT